GCTAATTTCCATTGTGGCTGAACTAATTTACATTCCTCTCAACATCATATAAATGTTCATTTCCCCATACCTTCTTGCCAGCCTTCATTGATATTTGTATGCTTGAAGATGGCCATTCTGACTGGAATGAGATGGAATCTCAGCATAGTGTTGATTTGCATTTCTGTGATGGTTAAAATGCTGCCCATCTTTTCATATAATCTTTGGCCACTTGTACTTCTTCTTTGAGAAGTGTCTGTCTAGCTCATTTTCCCATTTATTTAATGAGTTATTTATTTATTTGGTTGAACCCCAAATTTGAAGAAGCTATAGGAAATTGTACAGTGTTATATCCACATATGGCCACAAAGGGGCAATGCTGCTTTAGTGAAAATTAATGTTGGGCTGGAATTGTGGCTCAGTGATAGAGCACGGGCCTCACATGTGTGAGGCTTGTTTCTCAGCACCACATATAAATAAATGAATAAAAACACGGTCGATCAATAACTAAAAATTAAAAATAAAAGATTAATGTTTATCTCTCTTACACATATTTAATAAGTAGGGAGTGCTCATTCTTTAAAAATCTAGTAAATTATCTCCTACTCTGCTTCAATATATTTGGACATCAAACATGTAGCTGTTTGTTTATCTATCCATCTACCTAAATAGTATCTATTGTCCTGGTCTCACAGGGTTGAAATTGAATTTGGAAGGGAACACTTCTTTGAAGGAACATGATGTCCTTCAAGGTCAGAGCCATATTAACACTTCTAATGAAAGCTTATAATGTTCTCCTTCCTACACGGTCTAATCTCCTGACACACTGAGTTAACCTATGTGTAGAATTCCATAATCTAGTCTTTTTTAATTATTTATTTAAAAGTTGTAGGTGGACACAATATCTTTATTTTGGTGCCAAGGATCGAACTCAGTGCCCCAAGCATGCTAGGCAAGCACTCTACCACTGAGCCACAACCGCCGCCAATAATCTAGTCTTTTTATTAGGAAATCCATTCATGGTTTAAGACCCAGTCCAAGCCCCTCCTCTGTCAAGACCCTTCTCTGACTGGGTCCAGAAGTAGACTTCCTCATTCTTTCCTGTGTCATTTTGTCTAGACACACATGTCTCTTTGGTGGGTTTTACTTTGCTCTCCTTGACTATTGGGACTGACCAACTGAAGATTGGAACCATGTCTTTCATGACTGAGATGCAAGTACTATTCATTTGTAGGTATTTACTAGATTCGCAAATAAATATTTAGCAGTCCCTTCTTATCCTCAATTTCAATCCCAGTCTTCCAGGTTCCTATAGGTAAATGAGGTCAGACTATTAAGTGGGAAATTAAGATATATGCAATTCATAAGTTTAAATTGCCAACATTCTGAATAGCATGACTAAATCTCCTCCCATCCTGCTCCTTCCCGCCCAAGACATGAATCCAGCCCTTTGTCAGCACATTCATGCTGCATATGCTACCTGCCCATTTGTCAGTTACTAGCATCTCTGTTATCAGAATGAGCATTCATTATCACAGTGCTCCTGTTCAAGTAATCCTTATTTTATTTAACAAGTATTCTGGAGTGCAAGAGTAGTGGTTCTGGCAATTTGGATAAGCCAAGGAAAAGCCATGAAGTGCTTCCTTTTTGGGGAAAGA